ATTTACATTCATTAAAAGAAAAAAAAAATTTAATGCTTTATTAAAAATGGGTTAAGTTTCTCAAATTCTATTAAGTGAAGTGTTTAGAAAATATTTGAAGAAAAATTATAATTATGCATCAAAAGTTAAATCATTTCGTTTCACTTGACGCGATACCTTGGACTTGAGTAATTGCGTTAGGTTGTAACTTGTTCATGTATTAAGAATTTTCACATGTCGCTTTTGACATTTGACCTTGAATCCTGTTAAGTCGTTTAAATGAATAAAATATTTTGTTAAATCATGTATAAATGTATATGTTCAGGTCATAAGGTTTTTTATGAAGATTTATAAATCAAAGACATTTCTACTTAGCAACTACTTGGCAACTTTTTGCAAAGATTTATTTATAAAATTACAAAATTTCAAAAAAATAAGAAAAAATAGAAATCTTCTCCTTGCAAACTAAGCTGTACTTCTGCTTACTTAAAACACTTAAAGCAGTAACAGTTCATTAAAAAGTAGAAATTAAAAAATAAGTAAAAGAAATTCCTTCTAAATTGCAACTAAGCTAAATTTCTGCTTACCCGTTTTGCCTTTTTGTCTTTGCAAAATTAAAGAGTCCAACAAGATGCACTACTTACGCAAAGGGTTTTACTAAGGACTTTGAGCGTACATTTTACAAGGTTCCTGATCCTCTTCCGTCCAATGACGGGGATAAAGAAAATATAACTTATGCAAAAATTTTTTAGAAAACCTTCTCTCACTCGAAATATAGATGGCATAGTTTTTATCTTAAACTTTGACCCTTTCTCTCATTTTAAATATGTCCTTGCATAATCGAGACTATATATATATATATATTAAATTTCTACGGATGTATGCAACATCCAAAAGCATTTAAGGTCGATCGATTCTTCAAACCTATCAGCGTGTTCGTCTGACATCTGCTAGCTAAGCAGCAAATTTTCAAAAACTTTTGATGAAATTTCAATCGTTGAAAGAAAAAAATATGTGTTATAGTATTTCTCAATAAAATTTGGAGTAGGTTGGCATTTACTATATGAACTATCGAAAATTTAATTGCGTTGGGACCATTTTTTCGATCCCATCCGGTATAAATATTTTTGTAGATAAGTAAGAAGAGTTTAATTTTGTAGTACTTAACGATGAATGTAAAAAATATACGGTCCAAAGTCTCGGCAACTCAGGTCTGGTCCTTAATAGAGCAATTCTGCTTTTTTGGCTTAGTCGTAATATTTTAACTTTACTTTTAAACGAGCATTGTTTGGTTTTTTCATGCCCAGCACATCAAGAGCTGGCACTTCTTCAACAGTGACACGACCGAAAGAGATGGGTTGTTCATAATTTTTCCTATGCGTTAGGGGACAGCTTTGTGTTTTGATGGCATTTAAATTTCCCATGTTTGCCTAACCCCTTTCAGATATTTTTATGAGGTCCCGATTTAGAGTGTCATTCATCGTGCAGCCTTTGTTCTGTATCTCGTAGCTGCATGGCTTCTTACTGGAAGAAGGAAAACGTTTATGGTTTTGTGCAATTGATCAAATAACATAAGATTCCATATTGTATTCGCTGTACCAACTTCAATCCAACACAGGAGGCACCAACACGACTGAGAAACTTAGTGGAGAAGACCCAGGATGTTACGCCGTAAAGGAAATGCCGTTCATTTTGTAAATTAAATTAAATTTACTTTAACATTATTTAGCTTTTCATTGCATATATACAGAGTAGTGCTGTGTCATCAAGTTCGCAAAATCTAATAACAAAGAATAACATTTGCGGATGTTGTTAAGCATACCTTTACGCAGTAGGGAAGGAAATTATTTTAAAAAAATATTAAAAAATGGCAACCACTCTCGCGAGATTCTGCCAGCGAGCAGTATAACTGAACCAGTTTTGAATATTACAAATAACAACAAAAAAATTATTCAATCCAATCTACACATTCCTACATCTATATAGGATTATTTAAAGATTTCGATTTTTGCGTTATTAGCGATTGTTGCAATGAAGATGTCAAATGTCGACAATTGTTCGCAAAATGGTGACCTTTTTTTTAATAAAAAATATTTAAATTAATTTCTAGAAAATATTCCATGCCTTTTATTAGAAAATGTTATTTTAAAGATAAATCGTTAAAAGCCGGAGAAGAAAGAAACGAAAAAATAGTTGGTATTATGCTGCGTACCGTTTCGAAAATTCGTAACTCCAGCAAAAGGCAGGTAAAGTTTCAAGTTCTCGTATGTTGCTGTGTGTAATTATTTTCGATAAATCAAATTTTTTAATTATTTAAAATATTGCCACACCCATAATTGTCTTTTTATGTCATTCGTAACTATGTAAGACATCATTTAAGCCAATAAGATAAAAGTGATTTTTTTTTTTTTTTGCGCAAAATATTACCATTGCTTACCGCCCCCTTAAATGATTTACATGTATAATAAATATGAGTGGCGTTAGTATTGCCGAAGTGGGTTAACATTTTCTATAATGGAAAATTGCTGAAATGGCTGAAACACTTGCACGCACTTGCACATGCGCATAATTTAAATACGCATAAACAATGAAAGAAGAAATTTTACATGCAACATATCTCATAACTTAATAGATAAGTTAGAATTTTTAAATATTTTAACTATGGCATAAATGAAAATATTTTAATTAACTTTTCGAATGAAGTTTGGCAACTTGAAGATTTTACACACACAACATATGAAAATTCCCTCCTGCTTTACCTCATTTTCTTCCCAACACTTGCTGTCTTGTTTGCATAAAGGAAACAGTGTAAAGCCGTGTGGCCGGCCATAAATAACAATAACAATAAGAAAAGAAAAAAAAAAAGCCTTAAACCCAATACAATGCTTTATAATTAAATAGTTAAAAAAGAGTTTTCAGCCTAAAGCGCTGTTATTTGTCAGTCATATGTCTTAGATTTTTATTTCCCCTTATATATTATAATTGTCTTTTTCTTTTTGTTTGGAAGCTTTAGTAAAAATGAATTTTACTTTGGCTAACAATTTTCCTAAGAATCGGCCAAAAATAAACGGCCACTGTCTGCGTAAATAACACCTTACTTTGAAGGTAGGTTATTAGGTAAATTTACTTTTCAATAACACAGCATATTAAATATCGTATACACAGCACCAGCAGCTTACTTAATGCACTTGCAATATAGCAAAAACAATAACAATATGATAACACATTACTACAACACAAATCATTATTAAAGGAAATAAAAGTTAATCAGTCGATTTGATTGCAAAGTTGATGATAACTTTGCCATACAATTGTTTTTATTATGATAGGAATGAGTACAAGTACAAGCGCACGCTTACTTATACATAACAGTATGCAAGTGCGCTAAAATTTACTACATATGCATGTTTATCATTACAAAATTAAAAAAGAAAAGAGAAAAAAAAAAAAAAAAAACTTATAGAAAAAAGAGAAAAATTAAAAAAAGCACACGGAGGTGATGACTAGCGTCGGTTGGGCGGGCGGGTGTAAGTTATAATCATAATAAACGTTTTGTTTCTTTCTAAATTTTATCTATAAACATGTGACACAATATAACAAACAAAACATTTCAAGTGTAAACACGCATACTTTATAAAGTTATAAAAAAAAAAATAAAAAAACAAGCAAGAAAGTTATATTCGGCTGTGATCGAATCTCTCATACCCGTCGCCATCACTTTCCCAGTAACTAACTAACTATACAGAAAAACCAGTTGACCATTTCAGAATACAATGCCCAAGAAACACACTTAGCTTTTCATATTCTACTCTCCAAGCCTTTTTTGTTTTAATACCCATATCGATGGTATTGTGATGAAGATATGAATCCATCCCGTCGTGGTGTCCACCATATATGTTTTGGAATTAACTCGTTTTTAGGCAGATAATATGTCTTCATTTGACATATGTAAAATAAGTCATTTCATGTATCCTGTCTTGTTTACCTTATCTCCTATCTTTCATAATGTGTGAGTAACAAGCAGAAAACCACGAATTTTTGCTTACAGAACAGAAACAGGGTTGCATTCACTTCACTATTTACTGCGGACGTTCGTTAGGCGTAGTCAATTTTTGTATTTTTAGATAGTTACTACGGCAACGCCCATAGAATATATGTTTAAATTTTCGAAGATTTTTCCGTTATAGTGTAGAAGCAAGGGGCAGAAACCCAATTTTTTATTTCTTTTAAAAAACAGAGATGTTCTCAATGGTACACTCTTTTGCGTGCAGAAATTTCCCGTGTTTCCGTCAAATTTGAATTCGATTGCGACCATGACAGCAACAACAACCGCACAGACCGACAGACCGGCATGGCTTAATCGATTCAGAATTTCACGCTGATCAAAAATATTTATATATTATATACTTTATAGCATCTCTGAAGCTTGCTTTTGGATGTTGCAAACATTATGACAAACTGAATGGATTTAAAAAAATGATAATAATAACAATAATTAGATAATTTTATTGATTTAAATAACAGTACACCGTAAACAGTTGGAGTTTTCGTCTGTTTTCGCGTAGAGCAAAGCGTTTTTTTTATTTTTATTTTCTCTCTAACTCATAAGAATAATTGATATTTAAAGTTCGTATTAAAGTGTATTTAAGTAAAAATTCTAGATTTTTTAAAGAAATTATATATATATATATATATATATATATATATATATTATAAATATATGAGTTTTAAAAAATTTATTGAAAACGAGAAAGACAACAATAAAATAAACATAACTATATTTTAAATGATTGTTACTTTAAAAGATTCGAAAAAAAAAGAAAAAAGAATTAAACAAATAACACAAAAGAATATTTATATTCATCACGAGTTGAACGTCTTCTTGTCATCGCTTGTATTGTCAGATACATATATACATATATATATATATATATATATAAAACTCTCATACTAGATATATACGGAAATCAAAATTTAGTGTGAACTTAAACGTTTTTGCTTATCAAAGTATAACATGCTTAAAAAAAAAAAAAAAAAACAAACACAAATTATGCTAAAAAGAGAAAGGATTTACAATTCGGTTAAAGCGAATCTTTTGATGTTTTGATGATGATATGCTTGTGATTTTAATGAATTCACCTCTCAACTAGAAAGTGCGCGCCCGTTTTAAATTCTTGACTAATTTTCTAGTTCATATAAGCGCTTCTTTCACTTGCCAAATCAATTAAGTCGAGAAAAACGATAGCCTTTGTTGCGGCAGAGAACGATTTTCATATGCATATGTAGTAAATTTTAATTGTTTCGTTAAAAAATGTTGTAAATAAATTTTTATCACGTTTCACATTGGAGTACGAATTGATCTCTGTAATGAATTATTTATTATGATTTAATGGCAAAAAGCAAAATTTTTATCTCTTTAATGCTATTTATGCTTATTAGTAGAGAAATTTATTTTTAATATACAGTGCAATAGAACAGAAAAGGAAAATTTCGAAATCAATTTTCTTGATCATGAGTGAAATATTCACGATATGATATTGATTGCAGCAAGTGGACGGACAGACCTAGAAATTTAATTGAATTTTTTTTTTAAGGATTTCCACTTTTCTTAACAATAGGAACAATCAAAAATTTTATAAAGCCCATCCCATCCATGTAAGTGAAAATTGAAAACACCAAACGCTACACAAGGGACCAATCCAAGATCAATTCTTTTGGATGTTTGGAAAATGTACTCCTTTTCCATTTTTAATTTTTTTTTTTGCTGGAGTAAGTACTTCTGATATTTAAATCGAAGTCGAAACAGAAGTATTACGAGCCCGAATAAGCTGCCTGTCGGAAACTTTTACTATTCGATTCATAGCCGGATGAACAAATGGATCCCAATCGATTAGAGATTTATTGGAGAGACTCTTCATGGTGTGAGTGCTTGTAAATATTTAAGCGCAAAACTGAAAACTTACTGCACATTATCTTCTCCCCCGTTAATGAATATAAAAGCGCAACGATACCCATTGCCACCATCGCTACCGCACTGCCGATTATTTACTCGTTTATTTAGTTCAACAACATTTTTCTTGTTTCGGTTTGTTTACGTTTGGCCCATAACTTAATTGTGGCTCTGCGTATATATATATATATATATATATATATAGCAGAGTATGTGTGCGTATGTGTTTATTTTGGTGCAAATACTAATCAAGATTTCGACATTACGTTGAAGCAATAACATGCTTTTAATTAGTGAGAATTTTCTCAAAAAAAAAAAAAAAAAAAAGGCGACCAAAAAAAAAAACGAGACACAACAGTAAATAAAATTAAAAGTGAATATAAAGCTTCTGTATGCGAGATTGACAATGCCTGCTGCATTCATCCATTCTCTTTAATAGGGAAGAAATACAATCGGAATGTTATTATTATTCCAAATATTGATAACATATACGTATGTAGACATATGACCTCCATTTGTGGTAATACATTTTTCTCTACAGCCTGTTTACCTTAATATCTGTATGAAAAAAAAAAGGAAAAAAAGCTTATGCGTTTTTCTTAAAGCTTTTACTTCACACATAATTGTTTACTTGCTACTAACAATCAAGTTTGTAACGCGAAATAACACAACAACAACAACAACAACAGCACACCAATAACGTTGCAATGCCCATTTCTGCATGAAGAGTGAAGTAATCAAATAAATTTTCGCTTTGATTTTATCATAATCGGCAATGATGGTAAGTGCACTGTTAGAGTATATTACACACACACACACACGCACACATTCAAATACACCCATACATTCATAAATGAATGAATATTCTCTTTCATAGACAACTTTAGTAGAAAGTTAAGTTTGCCTCCTATAAGCTCCGCTCTCAGTTGGCCTGGGTAACTCATACTCAATCAAGTTAATTCAACGACAATCACAAAAAAAATTTCATTTTTGAAAACTTGCTCAAAACAAATATAAATGAATTATTAAATTACGAAGGCAGCAACAAATCTCTATATTCATTTTGGAGTGAATTTTGAATACTCCATGCGTGCTTTACATACATGCAATTAAGAATTAAGCACTGGCCTTAAAAGCATTTCTCTTTCAATATCAGCGATTTTTGAGATCGTTAGTTAGTTGGCAGTCTTTTTTCATGCATTCGTACATTTTTTAATTACATATATATATATATATATCTGTACATTTATTTGAATTCATTCAATTAAGACCTAAAGACATTTTCAAAAGATACCCATGACACTTGAACACTTCACAGTTCACAGCTCTTGTCGTTAACCAAATATGAAATAAGTTACACTATTCCATAGTTTTATTTAATTTGATTAAAGCCAATAAATATTAATTTATTCATATGCAACACAATCGTTAGTAAAAAAAAAAAAGCCATAAATGTTGTGGAAGTTTTTAGCAGATCGATAGAAAGGCGGTTTTTACAAAATGACCAACACAGCTGGCTTTGCTTGGTTTAGAGATGCTGACTGCTTTTAAGCAAAGTCGATTGACCCCTTTTCCAATCAGTGTTAGTAGACATTCTTTATTGTAATTGGCAATCATTGATTTGCATCAACACATACTGGCTCCTTCTCGAGTTCCCCGTAATGCGCAACGAAATAAGTTAAGCTAACAAAGTTCAATATTAATGGCGACGAATTGTACCAATTAAGATCACTGCATTCATTCATCGTAAGATGGTTCTATCTTACCGCAACAACACCTTAACTATTGAAATGTTTCACATTTTTCTTACCCGCATGGACTCATGTACTTAACTACATGTTGCAGACCATCAGATATTGAGAAGTACTTTGCGAAATTTCCAACTCCAGCCGGAAGTAGTGAATGTATTTGTTTTTTTCAAACTGACTATAGAGTGCAACATAACTGTTTATTCGCTTAGTTGAGCTATTAATAATTGTTAAGATACATGGTTTTGCTTTTTATCGTTAAAATCTTAAATCAAAAAAAATTTAATTACTTTCGGGAACATAATAAAAATATTTAAAGATATAAACCTTCGTAGATTTAATATAAAAAAAAAAAAATAATAAAAAAAAAAAATATTGAAAAAATATATCATAGTATCGCAGCAGACAATTCATTTTCTTTGTCTCCGTTATTATTACTTTTTTTTTTTTATTCTTTTTTATTTGAACTAACGTTTTGTTGAACGATTTCAATGATATCGCTTTGCATTCAAAACGATTTAGTGATCAATTTGGATTCGTATTTGTATGCATACTTTTCTTTTTGCCAGTCAGAAGTTGTCCCCTTAGGGCTTAGGTTTCTTAAAGCCTGCTCTACTTAACCATATATATATATTCTTTACCCCCATTTGTCTGTCTAGCTATCTGATCTCGGGAAAAATCTCGAGATATTTCTGGACTGGAACTAATAGTTTGATCTTTTTGATTGCTTTACTTATTACTTGTATTCGAGTAACTGAAAACAGAACAAAAAAGCCAAGGTTTGAATAGGACTTACGAGATAGTGACAGATATAACTACATTTACTACGTACGTTACATCTATGTACTTGAGTAGACAGGAGGGTATATAATAATGACAGTATATGCTAATAACTACTTTTTTTCTTTATCTTGGTTTCTAGGTCTTTTTTGTTTTTAGGTATTCCCGCAATTTAAGCGGATTTTTTTCTTTTTTTTTTCTTTTAGGTTAAATAAAAAACAAGAAATCATGTTAAAAAGACCCATACACGAGCATATAAAAACGTAACATTAACGGGCTACAAGATGAGAAATAATATACCAGTTATTGTCATTATAAGCATAAGCTGCCAAATTTAAACCATACACTCCCGTATAAAACAACAACACAAATAAACATCTTTTTGAAGAGATACCAGAAGTATGCGCAGTGGCCTTGTAATCAAAAACAGCCAGGCCAGCACATACATGTGCGCATACATTTGTTTTTTTTTTTTTTTTTTTTTTTAACTTTTTGTTTTTATGCGATTCATATACAGCTTACAACATCAGCTTGATGAACAATCAGCATCTTCATCAGCATCATAATCATCATTTTCATTATGATCATTATCACGACTAGCGATAGTAGTATCATAAATATGATAATGGAGTGTACACACATATTGACTTGCACACCGTACACCACTAGTTAGTTGTATGTATAGTTTTATCTACGGCACATTATTTCTCTCAACCATAACTACATATTACTTATGCACATTTAAAAAAAAAAAAAAAAAAAAACAACACCAAATATTTACTATTCTTTTTCATGTGTATGTCTGTCTACTCGATGCTGTGCGAGATTTGAGAAATTTTCTTTGCTTCGCTGCTTGGGTGTTGACCAATAATGGCTAATATGTCTGAAGATTGTGACACTCTTTGTAAAGCTTAGAAATGACGAGTCGAAGAAAAAACTGTATTTGATTGATGTTAATTTGAATTTAATTACAAATCAAATGATTTATGTTTCAAAGTTTATTGTAAAAATATATTAAAAAAATTGACTAAATTAGTTAAAAAAAAAAGTTTTACAAACGTAAAAAAAAACGACAAAATTTGAATAAATTCACATCACGTGCTCCCCGAAGACTCTCGGCGAACTTTGAAATTTTTTCTTTCTAACATCTTCATATCGCATTGGGTTCACAGAATTTCATACAATAAAAACGAAGATTAAGTTTGTTTAACAAATGAAGTGTTTCTCTTATTCTTCTTCTTTATTTTTTTTTTGTAAGAGAATATTTCAAGTGGGTTTTGAAATTAACTGAACACAAATAATAAATCAATTAAAATAATAAAACATTCAATCAGCAAATCATTTAAATAAACACATTATGCAAACTTCCGTTACCGTGCGAGAAGGAGCGAAAGGACAAAAATATCTTTAACATTTATATCGCCATTTACAAAACCGGCTTAAGGCTACATAGATACCACATTGACATGTAATTAAGCACCGCGATTATCGCGTTGGCATACCCGGATTCAATCCACAATACTGCAGACCACACTTTAATTAGGATTCATGTGTGGTCGTGGCTGCAGTGAGTACACATCAGTAAAAGTCTAACATCGTTCGGGCATACACATGTCAGGCTGGGGCCATTACCTATCTCTTAATCTTTCTCGCCGTACATACGTATCTTGTTAACTTAATACACCTGAAGAGGGCATATCATAAGTGATTTGTTATATAAAAAAAAAAAAAAATATCTATGAATCGCATTAACCGAAACTTAGGACGATATAATGCGGGCCCAATGATTTTGTAAGTTTTACAAACTAAGCACTAACGCTTAATCCACATTCATGCTTAGTGGACAAATGCATGGTATCTTGGACTTGCTATAATGTCAAGGTAAAAATACTTTTGATGAACCACTTTACACGTCCACGTTTAACGTTATATTTCGCAAACTGGTTTCCAGTTGATGGATACCTAAGGTTCACCCTAAGGCCAGCAGGAAACAGAACGTTTCACATTTTTCCTTTACTTTCGTGATAAAAGACCATAAACTGCAACTTGCTTTCATATAGAGGCACACTTTACATGTCAGCCCTTATATGGGAAAGGACCTAGCAAAAGAACTGATGTGGTCCAGAAATTGGCAAAATTCATTTTTGTCACAAAGTATTAAAATCGAGATCTTGTCGCCTAGCAGGAGCCTACTTGTCATAAGAACACTTGCATGGATTAGTCAGCAATGAATAGATAGATGTGATCCATATTTGATACGGATAAAATACTCCTATGCACTCACTTTTGTCATAAAATATTGAAAATTAGGCTTTTTTACGATAGAAAATCCAATTCCGCTTATGAACAGTTACCTGAGAAGGGGAGATTTTTCTTATTCGTATATGTGACTTACACAAACTGACAAACTTAACTACACTGTGCAATGCTTTCGATCGTATTCATGAAGCATTTTCTGATATTGAACGTAGCAAACGAAAAGTGAGAAGAGAAGAGAGATGACATGACGTAGCCTAGCGGGTTTTTTCACGCAAGCTTTTTTTTCTTTTTTTTTTTTCATATATATTTATATATATATATATATTTTTGTTTTTCTATAGCGTAAATGACCTATTTTCCAACGTAAACATTTGCGTGTTATATATATGTATGAGAAGTTTAGATGATAATTATCTCTCAGTTACCGACATTTGGCTCAATTTTTATTTTAAGGTCGTTTCAATCAACTATTACCTGAGCGGTTACTTACAACTATTCTATAACAAGTTAGGCGTAATACGACAGAAGATGTTCGTACAAGGGTCAATGTGTATCTTATGAGTATGAAAGTGTTTTGTATCTAAATGAAATTTCTTCCCAAATTGTGGTTCATATTCTCTGATGACTTTAAAATCTGGTCAAAACAACTCATAAACACACTCGAATTCAAATTTCAACACATTTTGTTTTATTTTAAAAAGAACAACAACAACAACAATAACAACAATAACAACAACAACAACACGAACAATATAGAAAAAAAAAACTACAATAAAATTATTGTATTATTAATCAAATTTTACATGTGTGTTAGATTTTTGAGTTACAGTAAAAAAAAACAAAAAGTTATTAAACAAACAAAACACCAACAAACTTAGACGCACAGTCTTCATATATACAATAATTCAAAAAAATAGACAAAAGAAAAAGAAACAAGAGTAGATGTAATAAATTAATGCTGCAATCTTTTTTTTTTTTTTTTTGAAAAACTTCA